AAAGACAATGAATTTTCTTTTTTCATTCCATTTTGGAAAGTTTATTATTTATTTTATTACCACATTCCATATATATTATATATGTGTGTGTGTATAAATGCATATATATGTATATACATACATATATTTTTTATATATTCCTTATATACATTCTATATATATTATTTATATTATTTTATTATTGCATTCCCTAGCTTAGGGACAGATAAACTATGAGTTTCAAAGGGAAAACTGTAATCACTATTAGTGATACTTTTGTTATGTATTGATTGGCTCATAATAAGTTACTTCCTTTTATGAGAGAGGAGAGGGACCAAAACAAAACATGAGAAAGCATTCACTGGGGCCAGCAGATGGCATAGCGGGGTTACATCACTGGACTCCCATATGGCTGATCACAGCTCAAGTCCCAGACCTGGTGGCTGGAAATTCATGACGTGGGGACCAGCAGTTAGCGGAATCTATGTCACTGGACTCCCACGTAGTCGACCGTGGTTCGTGTCCTGGACCTGGTAGCTTAAAACTCACGCTGGGCGCGTGTGCGTGCGTGCCCAAGATCCCAAGAGGAGAATGGAGGAGAAGGGATTGCGGCGTGACTGTCCCCCCCAGGGGGGTGATTTCTCATTTTCTGTCTGTCTGTCCCTTGCTGTCTGGCGAGCGCACGTGCCCTATAGCGAAAAAAAAAAAAAAAGAAGAAATTCATGATGTGTTCCTAGGTGTGCCCCAAGATCCCAGGAGGAGAATGGAGAAGGGTTTGCAGTGTGACCATCCCCCCTTTGGGGGTGATTTCTCACTTTCCCTCTCACTGTCTCTATTACTCTTTCTTAGGAGCATTTGTGCCCTATGGCAAAAAACCTCTTTAAAAAACAAAAAGAAAGAAAGAAAGCATTCACTAAAGGGCTGAATTTTTTCACACACAAAGATGGAGATGATCTATGCCCAAAGAATAGGAGGGAATGGTAATACCTCAAAATACTGCTTAAGAAAAACAAAAACAGGCTGGCACCTTAACTATTTATTGATAGCAATGTCAAGTACAATAACCAGAGAGACTCTAAATTTATCCATTTGAAGAAATATTTCAAGATTAAAGTAATCTGTAGATCTCTGGGATGTACATGCTACATTGTCATACAAGATTATTTTTTCAAACTGTTCATTTAAAGAGACAGAGTACTTAATTAAAACTATGCTAAATGATTTCAAATTCTCAGATCAAATCATAACTTAAATCATGATAAGCAGCAGTTCACTTACCATGAAAATCTGCACCCAACTTCTTAGAAGCCATTTAGAACCTGAAAAACAAGGAAATATTTCTTAGGCACATCATACCTTTGGGAGGTATAAATAAATAATTATAAGAAAATTGGTACTACTAATGAAAAACCAGAAGACCAGGTTCCAGTGACAAAGTCCTCACTTCTCACACCCAAAGTCCCAAAAAAGAAGGCTGAATGGGAGACAAAAGTTTTTTAAAGAAAAATGAAGTATTTCTAAAATCCATGTTCTGAAACAAATAGAATAGTGACAGTCCCTGACCAATTTAAATGTTAACCACTTAAAAGGAAAAAACTAGTGTCTATTCTCCTAATATAAACTACAAATAAGTCAATATTGCAATAAGAAAAAGATCTCACTTCATTCAAATAAATAAATATAGGCCTCTTGTTACAGGCAATCAATTATTAACTGTTAAAACAGGAATTTCCAAAATGGAGAATGAACAATGTACAAGTTTTTGTACCATTTTAATTTTGTATAAAATTCCCCTAAAATGAAAAAAAATTTCCATAAAACCATTTATCTAGTTTAACATTCTTTGGACTTTCAGCTTCTATGTAAGTAGGAATAAAGTTCTTTCCTACATATATATATACAATAATTTGAGCTCTTCAATCTAAAACTTTCTCTTCCTTGATATGATGAGATGATTATGGCTAAGGGGTACACAATTTATTTTTGGAGTGATGAAAGTGATGTAAAAATGAGTGTGGGAATGATTGTGCAACTCTGAATATACTTCGCTATATATGCACTGCACTATATGATTTAAGTGGGTGAACTGCATGGTTTATCAATTGTATCTCAATAAAACTATTTTACAAAATTAACTCAAAGGACAATTCTGTAGAGTGTTAAGCACTGTTCTTCAGAAGTTAGAGACCACAAGTCAACTGTGGTTCAATTCCCAGTCCAGAGGCTTGAAAACACACTGGGCACAGGTGCGTATATACATGTATGCATGCCCCAAATCCTGACATAACAGAGAAATGGAGGAAAAAGAACTGCAGCATGACCATATCCTCATTTCACAAGCACACTTGCACTCTGGCCATTTAAAAAATTTTTTCAATAAAGATCAATGACATAAATGTAAAAACAAAAACAAAACCTATAAAACTTCTAGAAAACATGAGGGTGTTTTTTTGTTTGTTTGTTTGTTTTTGGGAGAGGTTTTTGCTATATGGTGCGTGGCTCGCCAGAAAGACAGACACAGAGAGACAGAAAGCTAGAAATCACCCCCCCAGGGGGGATGGCTATGCCCTAATCCCTTCTCCTCCATTCTCCTCTTGGGATGTTGGACACACACACACACACACACACACACACACACACACACACACGTGCCCGGTGTGAGTTTAAGCCACCAGGTCCAGGACCTGAACCACAGCTGACTACATGGGGAGTCCTGCGACATAGCCATTATGCCATCTGCTGGTCCCGACATGAGGATATTTTTGTGACCCCAAGTTAGGTAAAGATTTCATAGGTAAAAGCATGAATCATAAAAGGAAAAAAAAAAAAAAAAAAAAAGGAAAAACCTGACAAGTTTTACTTTTTATTTATTTATTTTTTGGAGAGGTTTATGCTACAGGGCTCGTGGGCTCCCCAGAGAGACAGAGAGACAGAAAGAGAGAAATCATCCCCCAGGAGGGATGGCCAAGGGGCAATCCCTTTTCCTCCATTCTCCTCTCAGGATCTTGGGCACTTTCTTGGGGGTACTTTCTCCTCTCCCTCCCTATCTCTCTGTGGTGAGTGTATGTACCCTCTAGCACAAAAAGTCATATTAACTATACTATATTCAATAGAAAAAAAGCTTTTCTAATCTTTTCTCTGAGGTCTCGGAGGCATTTTTGCAGCCTTAGTTCCTTCATCACTGCAATAAAGGTAGTAAACTGAATATGCAGCCTACTCTAAATAGACCATAAATCTATAACAGAAGAAAAAAATGAAAAAAAAAAATGTTTCCAAATTAAATACTGAGCATTCAAGATAAGTGAAACTGTCACTCACTATACACACAGTCACTTTTTTAAAAAAAGAATTATTTCTTTATTTAATTCCATTTGTTATTGTTGTTTTTTAATTTGGCCAGCGAGAGAGACAGAAGAGAAAGGGAGAGAGAAAGCAAGTTACCAGGTCCAGGACTTGAACTACAGTCGGTCATGTGGGAATCCAAAACCTTTAACCACCATGCCAACTGCCAGCCCCACACAATCACTTTTTAAAAATATCTTTACTAGCGGGGTGGGCAGGTGGCATGGTGGCTAGGGGCACTGGACTCCCATGTGGCTGACCATGGTTCAAGTCCTGGACCTGGCAGCTTACTTTCTCTCTCTCTCTCTCTCTGTCCCTCTCTGGTAAAAATTAAAATAAACAAATAACTAAATAAATAAATTTAAATATAATTCTTTAAAAAAACTCTACTAGCAAAATGAAAAGCTGGCAAACATATTGTTAATTTCCCCTTTTTCCCTTCATATTGATGATCCATAAAACCTAAAAGTCCAGAAACCATTTTCCTGTGCCACACATAAAATAATATCAAATGAGTATCATTATAAAAACAAACCAAAAAAATACACAGACTTTTGTATACTACCTAGCATGCGGCAAGAGCTCAACAAAGGTTGGTGAATTAAATATAACTCGCAAGACAGTAAACCATTTTTCACACACTCTAGCTATCAGTAAACTGGTATACCTAAACATAAAATGTAAATTTTTATTTGAATACTATGGTATTATTACAATCTTAATTTTTTTTGTTAAGAACATGGCTCTGAAGACTGAACTGAGTTTTTAAGACCTTACTTTCAGTCTGTTCCAGATTGAGAATTAGCCAGAGACAATGCTTTCGTGATCACTGTCCACAAATCTGTGTTTTCAAAACTAAGCCCCCTTATTACTGGCTACTGCACATCAGCATATTTGGCTGAAGACAGAAGGCCAACAAAAGAGGTCAACAGTACTCTGATTCATACTGAGGAGCATTTCAATAGCCCAGTAAGCTTTTCTTTAGGCATTAATTTCTTCTTTGAATTCAGCCAGAAAACTGCTTGTTTTGATTTTTCCTAATCGCCACTATTTTATGGAGAACTAAAAAAGAAAATCTGAATAACCTATAGAAACAAAATCTAATGGGCCCTGACATTTTGGAAAAAAAGGGAGTATGTTTACATAAATAAGGAAACAAAGATAAGACGCATATTTATAATGGTGGCTGTTTTGAGGTGGTAAAATTACAAACTGTGCATTTGATTTTTTCTCATGTGCTATTTATTTTCTATATTGAGACTATCTAAATGTGTATCAACTGACAAATGCCTACATACTTGGGGTGGAAATTAGCAACAGAGAGGGAAGAAAAAAGCCAGTTAGTTGCCTGTAAGAGAACTAAAAAGAAACACAAGAACATGTAACTTATGAAAGACTGTGACCTCATTATTGAGAGAAAAAAGAATAAATCAGTGGTTTCTAGACCAGTAAGATAAGAGGGTTGAAGGGGAGGACCAGCAGATGGGACCAGCAGATGGCGTAATGGTTATGTCACTGGACTCCCACGTAGGTGACCGTGGCTGGAGTCCTGGGTCTGGCAGCTTAAAATTCACACCAGGCCCACACGTGTGTGCCTAAGATCCCTGCATGCCCAAGCTCCCAAGAGGAGAATGGAGGAAAAGGGACTGTGGTATGACCATCTCCCATGCGGAATGATTTCTCACTGTTCTCTGTCTCTGTCCAGAGAGCACACACACCACGCACCCTATAGCAAAAATCTCTTAAAAAAAAAATCTTGGAGCCAGCAGATGGCGTGGTGGTTAAGGGTGCTGGACTCCCAAGTGGCCGACCACGGTTTGAGTCCCAGAACTGGCGGCTTGCTTTCTCTCTCTCTTTCTCTCTCTCTCTCTCTGGTCAAATTAAAATGAATAAATAAGCTTAAAATAATTCTTTAAAAACAAATGTGTCATGACTTTTGAAAAAAAGAAATCTATTGGGTCACTGGGAAAGTCATGACATATTTGTATACGTCTTTCCCAAAAACCTAATACAAGCACCCAGTATGTATTTAGTATGTATCTAAAGCTTATAATCCATGATGAACAGCTAACAATTAGGAAATAACACAGCATCACCACTTATAAAGCAAAGACTGTTAGGAACTACACAGAAATATATAATTAATAAGATAGCCTAAACTTTTCTCAGCCAGCTCAGCGGCATAACAGTAATGAACTGCTCAGAGAAGTTGGTTCCAATGGATCAGCTTGCCCATAGCGCAGTGGTTAAACAATGTACCCAGGGAGTCAGATCCCACGTGGTCAACTATGTTTAAGTCCCCGCCCAGGCACCTTCAAAAACATGCCAGGCACATATGCCTATGTGCCCAAAATCCTGACAAGACAGATAAATAGAGGGGAAAAAAAAAGGTTTCTGGGCTGGTCCCATGGCCTAGTAGTTAAGAGAACAGAATCCCACATAACCAACCACAATTTGAATCCCACTCTGGCAGCTGGAAAAAACACTGCTGCTTATATGTATATATTCCAAATCCCAAAGGATGAAGAAATGAAAGAAAAAGGAATACAATGTGATCACACCCCATGTGGGGAGGGTGCTTTCTCTCTCCTGTCTCTGTCAGGCTAGTGCACATGCCCCTGGCAATTTTTGTAAACAAACAAAATTTCAACAATTAAGTTCTGTCAGCCTAGTGCATGCACCTCTGGCAATTTTTGTAAAAAATAAACGTTGCAAACAATTGAGTATTTGCTTCCTTAGTGTCACTTTATTTTACACAAACGTGTAAATGAAACGCTAAATTATGGGGCCAGCAGGTGGCATGGTGGTTAAGGCACTGGACTCCCAGGCACTGGTCAACCACTGTTTTGAGTCCCAGACCTAACAGCTTGCTTTCTCACTTTCCCTCTCTCTGTCTCTCTCTGGAGGGCACATTAGCCCTATAGCAAATTTTAAAAATAAAAATAATAAATAATAAAATTAAATAAATAATTCTTAA